CCAGGGATTGACTAACTGTGCATTAGTTTGAGAAAGGGACAGATGGGCCACGTTGGTGGCAGCTCCAGAATTCATAGAGGGGAAAGACATGTGGGTAGAATTCTGATTTGGGGGTGGGTGGGTACAGTCCTTTCTCGAGGCTGCGTTTGCCTAGCATTGCTTTGGATTATGTATTTCTTCTGGGTGGCTAGCAGGGTTGATGAAGATGATGGCGAGAGAGCTGGGTCCAGGCTGCTTCTCGGGGCTCCAGCTGGAGGATGGCAGCTGAGCTCACCCTTCATTGTCACCCGCCCAGCTCTCTCCCTCTGTAAGTGAGGCAATTCTGGGTGATAGGTAGGAGGTGGCAGCTGAGGCACATGTCTATTTTCGGCCTGACTTGTCTGAGTTTATTGCTCTGAGATGCGAAGCCATTTGAAGACAGGAACCAGTTGCAAGGCCTGTAACTGTTGCCAGGTCTCCCCTCCTTGGCTACACACCCTCAAGTTTTGGTGGCCCGGAGGGTGGCTGTGCTCAGTCCCTGTGAGGAGGCCTGGCCCCTGAGCTGCCCTGCTGTCACCAGGCATGGCCCTGTGGGGCTGCTGCACGTGGATGCTCACATGGACACGGCTGACAAGGCCCTGGGAGAGAAGATCTATCATGGGACCCCCTTCCGCCGGTGCGTGGAGGAGAAACTTCTGGACTGTAAGCGCGTCGTACAGATTGGCATCAGGGGCTCTTCTACGACTGTGGAACCCTACAGATACAGCCGGAACCAGGTGACAGACTGCACGCCCTTCCCTCTGTGCCCCGCCTGCACAGTGCCTTCCTCTCCACTGCTCACTCAGTGGCAGCCATGGACTCTAGAGGGGCTTTAATAAGCAAGTTCAGAAAAGGGGAGGAAGGCTGAGTTTACCCCCCGAGGGTCATGTGCAGCAGAGAGGAGCGAGGTTGTTGGTTCACGAGGCAGAGGAGGCCTCCTGTTGCTGGGGTGGGGGGACTAGCAGAGATGAACCAACTCCTGGGATGTTGCCGTCTTGGAAAAGAGCTGGGGAGGTCCCAACCCGAGGCGAGGGGACCCCTTAGTTCTCCTCTTCATACCCGCTGGGCAGAGTGGCTCCCAGGCGAACACATACGACAAGAGCCAACAGGAAAAGCCCAAGGCCCCATGCAAAGGCCGGTCTTCTGGACAGAGCTGTGCAGGAAGTGCTCGAGGGAGCTGGCCTGAGCGTCTCGCTCTTGCTTTCGCCAAGCTTCTCTCTGATCCCGTCTCCATAGGTCAGCTTTGACTTTCTCCCTGCCTTGCCCGTCACCGTCCCTTCATTCCTCACCTGTAACATGGGGGTGGTAGTTCCCTCCTCAAGAAGGTTAAGGGTCCAATATGATGGGTACGTAGCGCTTAGCATGGGGTTGGCCCGGAGGAAATGCCCAGGCAGTGCCCTGCAGAAGCCTTGACCTCCCACTCTTCCGTGCCTCCATCCCCAGGGCTTCCGGGTGGTGCTGGCTGAAGACTGCTGGCTGAAGTCGCTGGTCCCTCTGATGGCAGAAGTGAGGCAGCAGATGGGAGGCAAACCCATGTATATCAGCTTTGATATTGACGGCTTGGATCCTGCCTATGCCCCAGGGACAGGGACACCGGAAATTGCTGGTCTCACCCCTAGTCAGGTACAGAGGATCCACCCGTGACCATTCGTGGGGGTGAGGATTTTTAATGCCCCACTTTTCTGGGCCTTGTGGTGAGTCTTTGGGAATCAGGATATGTTTTTTTGTTTTTCTTTTCTTACAGTAGTGATTTAAAAAAAATTGTTGAAAGTATTACACGTATCCCCTTTTCCCTCCCAGGACAGGGTTTTAAAAGCAGGGCACGTAGGCCTTTACTGTCCTCGGGGCCACCCTAGGTTTGAATACTGACTTGCTGAGGACTGGGTTTTAGCCAAGGCCCTCATTTTTTATCGGGATATTACAGTTCTTCATTTGATTTTCCTGCTGCTGGTTCTGCAGTAATTGGTCCATGGGAACCATATGGTAGTACCCCTCTCAAGGACATTTTGGGGTTAGATTTTAAAAAAGTATGCACAGTGGGATTAACCAGCTACCAAGGTAGTTCAAGAGTTTTAGAACTACCAAAATAGTTTCCCATAGGATGTGCTGAGCATAAAGGCAGGCAGGCAGGCAGGACTGGAGCGTGGTTATAGTGAGAAGGTAAGCTCCAGGAGGTCAGGCCTTTGGTTCACTACCCTGTCCCTGGAGCCTAGAATAGTGCCTGATATATCAATGGTAGGTACTCGAATTTCTCCTGTGAGGAAATGAAGGTTGCTCAAACCTAATCATTGTCTCAGACCCTCTAAGAAAGGACGGTGACAACTGCCTCTTCAAAGCCCTTTTCCGTTCCCACCAGAGAGATTTCTAAAACACAGACCTCATTCCTCAGCGTCTCGTCCTTCTGGGCTTTGCACCTGCACAATGAGAACTCCTTGCGACAAAGCGATTCTTCCTACCATCCCCTCCTGACCCTGTCTCCCGGCCATGTCTGACTCAGGGTACTTCATCTTGGTGCCTTTTCCCTCGGCCTGGGCTGCTCTTCCCCTGCTCAGCTGCTTGGTCAATTTACTGCGCTGTTTCCACCGTGGGGAGGCCTTCCCCACCTCTGCGGGCTGTTACGTGTTCCTACCCTAAGCTCCACTTGTTTTTCCTGAAGTCCTTAGTGCAATGGTCGGCAAACTGCGGCCCCTTGAGTGTGGTTCTTCCACAAAATACCACGTGCGGGAGCGCATGTACAGTGCGATTGAAATTTCATGGCCACACTCAAGGGGCCAAAGAGCCGCATGTGGCTCATGAGCCGCCGTTTGCCGACCACTGCCTTAGTGCATGACATTGAAATGATTGGCTTGCTTGTCCCCATCACCACACTGTGGAGCCCTCCGGAGCAGGGACTGGGCATCGGTCAGCTGTGATGGCCACCAGGGTGCCGGGCAGCCGGTAAATGCTTACTGAGGGAAAGCAGTAGTTTTGAGTCGGAAGGTGGGCACGTGTTGGGAGAAATCCACTGAGGCGTCCACGGTTTGTTTTCGTGGTCAATGATTTCCACGTGGCTTGACTGTGGACAGGCTCTGGAGATCATCCGGGGCTGTCAAGGCCTGAACGTGGTGGGCTGTGACCTGGTGGAAGTCTCACCGCCATACGACCCTTTTGGTGAGTAAACAAGAAACCTGTGATCCCTCGGCAGCTGCTAGTTCAAATTTTATTAACCTAGTTAATAGGTAGCAGATGGATGGGTCCTTCTGTGTAACTCGGGAACCTGCTGAGTACGCCCTACAGCAGTGATGGCGAACCTATGACACGCGTGTCAGAGGTGACACGCGAACTCATTTTTTGGGTTGATTTTTCTTTGTTAAATGGCATTTAAATATATAAAATAAATATCAAAAATATAAGTCTTTGTTTTACTATGGTTGCAAATATCAAAAAATTTCTATATGTGACATGGCACCAGAGTTAAGTTAGGGTTTTTCAAAATGCTGACTCACCGAGCTCAAAAGGTTCGCCATCACAGCCCTACAGTGAAGAAAATAAACCTGTTATTGCGCACCTTACAGACACAGCTAATGAGCCCTGACAAAAGCCCTGGAGGTTGCTAAGTATTATTAGCTTGCCCACCAGTCAGCAAAAGGCAGAAACAAGCCTGCAGTTTAGTGACAGGGTGGCACACGGCCATCCTACTGATATTTCAGGAAAAGTGAGTTCCCAAAGGATAAATAATAGTTACTAATATCAATAAAGTGGGGAATTAGCTGGCTTAGGAGATGCTCAAAGCAGATGCCAGCCTCATAATTTTAATTTAGAAAACCTTAGTTAGGCCTACTAGCCTCAGAGGATGATAATAAATACAATACACACCATTGTTATAGGTTTCCTTTTGGGGAAAATCTGTTCTGAGAGTAAACAAAGAACCTTCTGTATTTTAAAGTAATATTTCCAAATGACTGATGGAGCAGAATGCCAGGGAAAGCGGGACCCCGAAAAGGAGGACAAAGGGCGGAGGGCTGAGCAGTCCTGGGAGGTGCGGCCTGGGGGTGGTCTTCACGCTGGGTTTTACTTCTCCGCAGGAAACACGGCCCTCCTGGCAGCCAACCTGCTGTTTGAGATGCTGTGTGTTCTCCCCAAAGTGAGAGTCGTCTGAACCTTGTGCTCGTCAACACAGAGTAACAGATCGCATCAAGGACCAATTCTTAAGCATCTGTCAGTACTACAGAGTTCGTGCCAATAAACTTTCTGCTCCAAGTGTCAGTGGTGGCTGTAAAATCAGGGCACAAAGCAGAACTCGAATCCAGACCGCTAATATTTCCAAGGAGTTTGAATTAATTTAAAAAAACAGCCGCCCTTGTGCTGTGCTGATTTCTCCCTTTAATGAAAGATGATGGAGGATAAAGGGGGAAGGGATGGAGAAGTCAGTTCAAAGCTATCTAAAAATTGGAGGAATGAAATAAAAAGACTATGAAATAATACTGTATAAACCTCCCATATTTCTATAGTATCTTCCTTTAAAGCAGGGGTGGGGAACCTCTTTTCTGCCAAAGGCCATCTGGATATATATAACATCATTCGCTTAATATAATTCACTCAATATAAATTTATGTTGCTATGAAAAAAGCGCTGAGATTTATTGACTTTCGAGTCCCGCCTGCGGTTGCCTGGGCAGGGTCAGACCAGATTATTTCTAGGTCCTTATACAGCCCTGGGGCCAGATGATCCCCGCCCCTGCTTTGAAAGAAAGTCACACGCAGATCCTAATAAACTTCCCACTCAAAAGCCCAGGAGGGTACACGAAATGGCCTCCCAAGAGCCCCCTGAGACCCTCTCTCACTCTGTTCTGCATTATCTGCTCTTCCAGCTGCCACACCCTCCAGGACAGTCGTTCCTGAAATCTGCAGTCGCCAAGTGCTGATTGTAAGCACCTGCCGAGTTACATGCAAATTCAGTTTTGCTGGTAATGTGTCCACGATAAATCATCTCGATGCAGGAGCTACCCGTAATCATCACACATTAAAATAGTTTATTTGTTTCCAGTCGGTAATATTCTTAAAACGAAAATAACATCAGCTTTAGTGCCTGTTCACAATACAAAACAAAAACAACATAAAAAGGACACCACTTGCCAAATAAGTTATTTGTTCCTAAGAGTATCAAAAGTGCAAAATCTCCACTTTCTTTTCAGGTCTGTCTCGAAAGTATAATCACAAACTGAACAGAGAGTCAGCAGTTGCCACACTTCGTTTGTTTTCAAGGGACAATGGCAGGTATTAGGATTCGAGCAACATTTCATTCGGTAAAATGTTTTGCATCAGCTTTTAAAGAGTTTTCCTTAACAATTTTCTTGGAGCGTTTGCTTCTAATCCCATTTCCCAAACAAAGCAAATCATTCAGCCACATTCAGATCCTATTCTCTTTATATCAGGAAAACATTTATGTACTGAACGAGGAGGAAATCAACCTATTACTTGAAAACCACAACCAAGTTTCATGGTCAGTGAGTGATGGCAGCGAGACCACGGTGCCCAGTGGAAATCAGGGCTGCCTTGCTCACTGAACCAGCTTAGCTGGGGCTGCCCACCTCTGTGTTAGACAAGTCGTGCCACTGACACCTTGGCAATAAAAAAATATTTGGTAAATGGGTGTGTATTCAACAAAGACTTTTAAGACCAGTTTTCATCCCCATCGGCTAAACATGATGCGTAGATGCTATCAACCAGAAAAAGCTACCTCTAAAATCATCAATGTTGTCTTTTGAAGATACATATTTGAAAACTAGGAAGTTGAAACCAAAACTGGGTCTGTGTGGTTACATACATTAGGAAGAGAAACGGTGGCATTGGCTGAGCAGACAATGGCTCATACATTTGACACAAAAGTAAATAAATTAATGGAAACAACATGCAGGAGGAAAGGCTTGGTGGCCAAGGGTAAAGTTCATTTTAAAATAAGGGCTCCCAGTGTCCTCTGGCAGACATGCCTGCCCAGAGAGATCTGTAGAATTGGTGGGCTGAAGTATTTGCCAGGAATGTTTCTAATCCTATTATCTTTCCTTTCTTAGTGCAAATGGCAGGTGCTTTTTATTTTAATGATGAAATTTTTAAAAATGAAATCTGGGGAGGTTTTGGTTTTCCGAAATTATGGCCAGGAATCCCATTAGTACCAGAAATTAAAATCTACCATAAAAGCAAAACAAACTCATTTAAGTAAACTTGGCCATAAAAGACCCAGGAAATAACTTTGAGGAGTGACGCATCAAGGAGCCAAATGAATCCCGTGATCACGTCTACCTGGTCAGGTGCCATGCGAGGCGGCCCTCGGAGTCAGCATCCACTTTGGAGGACCACGTGGGGAAGGAAGCCTGGCGGTGATTCTTCGCCTTTTCCATAAAGCTGTAGATTCCATGACAACTACAGGCATTCCTGGGCCCAAATAATTGACTACTTGTCACTGTAGCTCAGTATTTAAGTCATTCGGGATCCAAATGGCTTAGTTTAAAGCAGTTATGATTAAAGAAAATATGAACTTATTTTGTCCCATCACTGATTTTGACCTTTCACTTTACAAATTACCCTTAAGGGGCCATCTGCTTTGACAATGGAAAAGACCACTCTTTGAGGCTGTCCACACCCCACTGGTGGTTTTGCCCGAAAGAGAAAAGGTAAGCTCTCCAGCTGCTGGAGTGATCCAGCCTGGCGTCCATCTCACCCTGAGCTCAGCAAGCTGGTGCCAGGACTGACCTGCTACTGGTGGAGCAGCTGTAAGTGAAGAGTGAGATGATGAAGACGAGACATCCAAATACAGGCAGGAGCTCAAAGTACGTAATAAGCCTTTTGCAAAACAGGAGTCTAGAACAAGTCTTGGTTCACTTGTCACAAATGAGGACTTGAAGATACAGCACTTTTGGGGTAACTGCTCAAAATACGATTGCTGAGAAATGTTAGGTTCCTTGATACACAGACGTGACTGGTATTTTACTAAAGAGACACCACTCGTGGCAGGTGGGAATAATTTGTCTTCAGTTTAACATCTACTGGCTTATAGCAGCTTATCTCTACGTTCAGAGAACAAGGTTAAAGTTATGGCTCCTAATATCCATACCCTAAGACTGACAGAGGCAGAAAGGCATCTAAAAACATACACATAAATGGCTCAAGTCGTTACAGTACTTTCTGCCGTGCGGATCCCTCTTGGCTACTTCTCGTGTTGGGGAGGCGGCTGATGGGATGCTCAGGAAGGGGTCACTTCAGTCACTGCCCAGTCCTCCTCTTGCCTTGGGAAGAAACCCAAACTCACATGCAGAACCCCCACTCATCCCTATGCTTTTAAAACCATGTCTGACAAACTGCAGTAGGGGGATACCCCCAAAATATCCGTTAGCCACTTACTACCACAAAGACCGCTAAACGTAAGATTGCTGGGACCCGGCCTCTTTCAGGCCGTGGGGCCCAGAAGCTGCTGTGGGCTGTCCCACTGTTACAGCATGCACCGCAGCAGAAGCACAGCGGCTGGGATGGGGGTGGGGGGGAGGCGGGTGAACACCCCAGCCAGCGACCAGCACACCAGGCTCCTGGTACCGCTGCAGGGCAAATGTCTGTGCTCCCGGGCAGAGACACTGGACAGGAGAGGGGGTGTGAGCGCGGGGGGACCGTAGGGAAGAGGGACGAGCGGTCTATTTTAAATAGTGCGGCATTCAGACAGGAAAGAAAATCCCAAAGGAAAATATTTTCACTCCTAGGTTAGAACAGGACAAAGCAGGACAAAGGAAAGGTTCTTCTGGCCACTGCTCTAGAAGAATCATCTAAAACCTAGACTCTGTCCGTGGTGATAGTTTGAGTCCTGCAAATAAATACCTGTGCACAGGGGCCTGCAATGGGTCTGAGGATTCAAGTCTCTCGCTGCTGCCCCTCAGTCTAGCTCAGGCCAGGACGGGATGTAAAACCTCTGCAAGGAGCCTTCCAACAGGCGCTCCATCCACAGGGACAGCTTGCTTAGTTTCCCTTTGATGGGCTTGGACCCAAGGCTGCCGGCCTGCCCTCGCGATTCCCCCGGGGGCAAGGAGGGGTCAACATCACTTGCCCCCAAGGCTTCCTCCTCTTCCACTGCTCTTTGGGGCTTGAAGAGGCAGAAGTATTTCTTGTGGCCATTCAGAGCCAGCACATAACCCGTGTAGTCACGTTCCAGGAAGTGCTTGTCATACTGGTTTGGGATCGGGGCTGCGTCCTGAGCAAATTCTAACAAGTATTCCAGCCACTCTCTGTGTTTATCGAGACTCAGGAAGGAGAAGTGCAGGCAGCTGCTCCTGTGGAGGAAGAGAGTGAGGACTGAAGGCTTCCTGACACTCAGCTGCAGGGAACACAAATACCTGTCAGACTTCATGCCGGGCGGGGCCAGGTGCAGACACCACGCAGGATCCTGTGGGAGCTGAGGGCGCCCCAACAGCAATACCCCCACCCCCGGCCTCTTGCTGGGTGTCACGTCACTCTCAGTGTCCAGCTCCAGGAAAAGACACAAGAGCTGGAGAATAGTCAGTTTCCTGAAAGGGCCCCGGGAAGAACTGAGGGGGCATGAAGTCAAGGGGCAAAGAAGGCGCCCTCAGGATGGCTCCGACTTCTGGCTTAGAAAGGTCACAGCCAACACCGCTGCACGGATAAAGCTCCTCCCGGCCCAAGAGGAAAGGATGTAACTCCCCTCCTTCCCAGATATGCCTGCTGTCTCCCCGTCCCTCCCTCTCTCACACGCGCTTACCCAGTGAACGTGTAGACCTCCAGAGCGAATTTCTGCAGGAGGCTGGTCTTGGTGGAGTTGGACAGGATGAGGACCACGTTCATGTGGCCTGGCCTCAGGCGCACCAAGTTACTGGTGTACGTTACATCCGTGAGTTCCGTCACCTCCACAAAGCCTTTTCTAGGGGTCTTGCTGTGAAAGAATATGGAGGAGTTAAGATGTTATCAGGGGCCCGGCCAGTGTGGCTCAGTGGTTGAGTGCTGACCTATGAACCAGGTCACAGTTCGATTCCCAGTCAGGCACATGCCTGGGTTGCAGGCTCAATCCCCAGTAAGGGGCATGCAGGAGGCAGCCAATCAATGATTCTCTTTCATCAATGTTTCTCTCTCTCTCTCCCCCTCCCATTCTAAAATCAATAAAAAAAATATATAAAAAAAGATATCAGGGTAGTAAAATGCCATTACATTTAAAAGAACCAAGCAGAAGAAAACGCTATGTTCGGAACATTTGAGATCTTTCTCCCCAGGATACATCATCAGTTTGGCTCAGATAAACCCATAAAAATTCTCTACAAAAAAAAAAAAAAAAAAAAGAGCCCAACCGGCATGGCTCAGTGGTTGAGGGTCGACCTATGAACCAGGAGGTCATGGTTCGATTCCTGTTCAGGGCACATGACCGGGTTGCAGGCTCGATTCCCAGTGTGGGGATTGCAGGAGGCAGCTGATAAGTGATTCTCTCTCACCATTGATGTTTCTCTCTCTCTCCCCCTCTCCCTTCCTCTCTGAATTAAAAAATACATTAAAAAAATAAAAAACCCACTATGTTATAACCCAGCGGTTCTCAACCTGTGGGTCTCGACCCCTTTGGGGGTTGAACAACCCTTTCACAGGGGTCACCTAAGACCATTGGAAAACACATATATAATTACATTTTGTTTTTGTGATTATTCACTATGCTTTAATTATGTTCAATTTGTAACAATGAAATTGGGGGTCACCACAACATGAGGAACTGTATTAAAGGGTTGCGGCATTAGGAAGGTTGAGAACCACTGTTCTAACCAGACTAGATATATTATTTAATACCAGAGGCCTGGCGCACAAAATTTGTTTATGGGTAGGGTCCCTAGGCTTGGCCCTCTGTGTGTGGGGCGACCGGCGGGGCAATCAGGGCCCAGGCGCCACCACCCACCACAGGCGATTGGAGCCTGCTGGCCAGCTGCAGGGAGGGACCGAGAGGTTGGCCAGCAGGCCTTGATCAGGCCATCGATGGGGGCTCGCAGGCTGGGAGCAGCTCCTGCGTTGAACATCTACCCCACTGGTCACTGTGTGTCATAGCTGACCGGTCATTCTGCTGTCTGGTCAATTTGCATATTATGCTTTTATATATATAGATTCAAGAGCCCAATGCACTAGGAGGATTGGGTGGTCCCTGCTTGGCAGTCCTGGGCCTACAAAGAGATTCTCAGTCGGAGCAGAGCAACTTTAGGATAGGACGCACCATTCTCTGCTTCCAGCTCATCTAGCATCTCTCTGATGTGCTTGTTTCCTGCCCTCACTGTTAAACTTGAGATTGAGAAACCAATGATATTGAGCAGAAGGAGGTCCAGTGTCTGCATGTGGAGAGGGTCTCAGTGAACAGGAATCAGCGGCGACCTTCCCTGTTCCCACCTCCTACAGCTGGGTGGGAACCAGAGTTCTATATACACATGTAGTCAAACTCTGCTTTATGAGACCACACGGCTGCAGGTCAGCAGCCAGGGGGAGGTGGGCGTGGCATTTTGTTAGACCACGTAGGGAACATCTGGTCCGAGGGCCATATAAAGCCCTCGGAATCATTTGGCCTGGCCCTGCCAAGGCATTAGGGGCGAGTTAATTAAATGTTTGACCAAATATAGCAGGCTCATTTTTAAGTTGATCATTTTGTAGGGCCCTCGAATGGTCTTATAAATAGCCAAACAGCCCTTGGCGGGAGAAAGGTTCCCCACCCGTGTTAGACAAACCTGGTGTTCTCTTTGGTGAAGCTGGACACAGTCCTCTCGGCCTTCTCCTGGGCTTTCTTTTTGTCTGGATTTTTTGACTCTCGATCATAGTTTGAGTCACTAAAGTGAGAAAAAAGGAGTTTTACAAAAAAACAGGACAAACCACCATGAGGTTTGGGCCCTCCCCACAGAAAGCCACGCTGAGAAGCCGTGGAGGACTCACCAGAATGCCTGGATGACGAAGGTGCCGAAGAGGACGAATAAGGCGGAGAAGGCCAGAGACAGGAGGGGTATCATTTCCCGCCTAAAACGAAGACAAGCTTACAACCTGCTCCACTCTACATGGGCTGCTGTGACATATCAGTGAATGCTTTTAGGTTTCCTCTCTCTGGCTCAAAAGAACAAACCCCCAAACAACCCCAAACCAAAAAGCTTTCATATCAATAAACACTTTCTAATTCCATACAGAGAGAGGTTCTTGGGGGTGGGGAAAGCAGAGAGTGCCCTCCGACTGTTAGGATTCAGAGATTGCTTATTTTCAGTTTAATTTTGTGCCTCAGTATTACAGGCTGTGCCTAATATATCCTGCAGGAGGCAACAGTAAGGAGTCAATAAAGGATTTAGGTGGTGAGCATGAACAGGGGGGTAAATGGTGATGGACGGAGACCTGACTTGGGGTGGTGAGCACAATGCAGTGTACAGATGCTGTGTTGAAGAACTGTGCCCCTGAAACCTGTATAATTTTATTAACCAGTGTCACCCCAATCAATTCAGTGAAAAGGAAAAGGGGCGTTAAGATGTACCAGGCCAGGAACGATTAATTCCTGACTGGCTTGTACACCTGCACGTTGGACTACATGAGTGTCAGGCTCTGTTGTCTGGAAGGGCAGCCAGTGGGAATGAGTCAATCAGCAAATATAAAAAAGTGAAGTGATGGAAAGAAAGAAAAAGGGGAACTGTGTTGAAAACGTGTACACGTTCTTCCACCTGCCTATGCTGAATATACACTCACGTCAAAGAAGAATAGATCCTTTTCAAAAGAAAAGCAGCAATCCTGCCATTAATAGAGCAAAAGACATGCAATCTCACAACATTCCTACCAGTTGTTGTAATACAGGTCTTCCAACCAGTCTGAGATGTAGGAAAAAGCAGTGACAAACCACCGAATGAAGAAAATCTATTGAGAGAATGAATGACGGTCAGGACCGAGCCCCTGAGCCCCAGTGGGAGAAGTCCTCACCCCAACACAGCGCTGCTGCTGAGCTTCTCTGCAGCCCTGGGAGCCACCAGCCCTGCCCAGCACCCACTCCCCTGGGCCACACGCTTACAGGGGCAAGTTCATCGATCAAGTCGGGGAGCACAGCTTCTGAGGACAGAAGAGTGGAGTCTTTCCGCAGCTGCTCGAGATAACTCAGAAGGATGAATTTATCATTCTCACTCCCTGTCCAGGGGTCCTCCAGGGTCTTATAGACCACCCTGCCTCCCATGTTGCGCCTTTCTAAGATAGACACCTGGGAGAAAAGAGAAAAACCATCAGAATTCTCAAAGAATGGTACGTCACTGTTGTTTGGTTTCTCTTCAGAGAGGATGAGAAAAAGGGTCTAGGGAAGTCAGCAATAAACTCAAACAGATATGGATGAGTATAAAACATTTACAAGAGATTTATAGTTTTCTGACAAAAGAAATTATGGTGACTTTTTTATGGTGACTTTCTGAAGCTTCTGTTAAAGTTAAAGCTCTTTCTTTTAATAAGCTTTGTTCGATAATCTCTTTCTAATTTTTATAATAAAGGAACCCTTTGTTTTTAGAGAGGTTCTCCATGATTACCAGAATGATGAAGAGAATTTCATGCAACTGTAGAGAGTGATGACAAAGAAGGAGAAAGGAAGGAGAGATCAATTAGGATGCTGTGAGTGCAGGCGGGGATATTTCGACAGCACATTATTGGTAGCTGAAGGAAGATTTTGCAAATTAGATAGGCAAAACTAGACCTGCCATAGGAAAAACTGGTGAAAAGGATTGATGCTCTTCAATCTCTACTCATAGGAAAGGTGCTTTCTGTGAAGGTAAAAGGCCGAAAATCTAGGAGGTGGTCACCAGGGTGAAAGACTTTTAAGAGTAGGCTTTCAAAACAGGCTCAGAGATTTCTGGGTTTCCTGGAATTTGTATTCAAAACTCCCGAGGAAATAGGACACAGAATCGAGTGCCAGTGCTCGTCAAGAGCTGGGATCAGGACCAGGACGGGGACCACGACTCACCGCCGACTTCCCTCGGAACGTCTCGCTGTCTGGCAGGAAGGCGTTGGCAAACTCCGGCTGCCGGTTGCTGTAGACGTGCATGAATCGCAATGTGTCTTGTGAGTTTGCCTGCGCGAAGGACAGGAAGGCCTCAAAGGCTTCACTCGACTTGGTGGCCTCGGGAATCAGTAAAATCACACAGTACCTGCACACAACAGAAGACATTGTAAGCACTCCCGAGGCACGACTAGAACCTGTGATGGCAAGTGAGAGTGAAGGAGAGGACGTGCTCACGAAGGAACCCTTTGCTTGCATTCACTAAAGACATGAATGCATTTACTAAAGAAACTCCACGGTCAAAGTCTAACGGGAAAATATTTCCAAGTCGTTCCCGACACGCTTCTTTCCCAGACCACCCTCTACCACTCTCAGGGCTGTCTTCTGAGGCAATGGTCGCCGAGTCCTGGATGCAGACCGGCCTTCAGAAGCCATCTGGTCTGGTTCTTCCACTACAGGCCGGCCGCTCACCTCTCAGCTCACAGGCCGCCGAGCCTCATTCTGAAGGGCTTCCTTTGCGATGGTTCCACTGGGAAGTTTAGCTTATCATTCTCTCATCCACTCTCCCAACATCTCCTGAGCACTTCCTATGATCGTGCCCTTGTGGAGCCTCTATTTGAGACCCCCAAAGACTCACCCCACTATTGAGGGAACAGTGACTCTCTCGTACTCCATGCTTCTTTAAGGAAACATCTCTCCCTGACACCTGGCTGAAGTCTACTCATCCTTCAGGTTTCGGCTGAAGTGTTACACGGCAGGGAAATCTTCTCTGACCCCGAGGCAGGCTGGCACATCCAAAACTTAGTCCTAAGGGACCCTGAATTAATACACCCCACTGCTCTAACAGTTGTCAGTCAATATTTGCTACATAAAGAATAAACTCCGACTGCCACAGGAGAGGTGTGAATGGCCTGTAGGAAAGTGCGCCGTGGCCCCTCCACTGCCACGACAAGCAGAGCAAAGCCCGGCCTTACTTCCTCTGTCGGTGAGACCGCTTTACGGGGCAGAGTTCCTGGAACAACTTCTGGTTGGTGAGCCTGGTTGCTAATAGATACTTGTTTTGGCTGATGAAGTCATCAATGGCCTCCTTCTTCGTATGTGGGGCCTAGAGGAAAACCAAGAAATAGTTGATTTTATTCAGTTTTCTCATGGCAAATGAGCTTTACGCACAACTCAATAAAAACGTGGCTCACCCTGGCTATCCTATATAACTAAAGGCTAATATGCAAAGTGACCGAACGGAGGATGACCAGTCGCTGTGACGTGCACTGACCACTAGGGGCAGATGCTCAGCGCAGGAGTTGCCCCCTAGTGGTCAGTGCGCTCCCATAGGGGAAGCGTAGCTCAGCCAGAAGCCGGGCTCTGGGCTGGTGTGGGCTGGTGAGCGCAGCGGTGGTGGCAGGAGCCTCTCCCGCCTCTGCTACATGTCTGACTGCTGGCTTAGGCCTGGACTAAGCTGGCATTCGGACATCCCTCGAGGGGTCCAGGAGTATGAGAAGGCGCAGACAGGCCTTTCAGACACAGGCCGGGCTGAGGGACCCCCAAAGTGCACGATTTTCATGCACCGGGCCTCTAGTTGTAACATAAAAAAATAAGAAAGATCTGTTTGAGCAACTAAACATGTGACCTTCAACAATGCAGGGATGGGGCAATGCTGTGGTTATTTCAGGTCAAACGACAGCCATGTGCTCCTTCCACTGGCGAACTCTGTATACTGTTTTATGTTGGCAGATTAAAAAACCCAATCATTTTAGGCAAATTTACTTTCATTTAAGATTTGTAGCAAACTGAACAATTAAATAAACTCCAAAGTAACAAATTTATCCTATACTAGAGGCCTGGTGCACAAAATTTGTGCACTGAGGGGGCGGGGCGGGAGGGAGGCGTCCCCTCAGTATGGCCTGCGCCCTCTCGCAGTCCGGGACCCCTTGCTCCTCACTGCCCGCCTGTTTGCTGCTCCTTACCACTCAGCTGGCTGCTCCTTAGAGAGGCTCCCACCACCACTGCTGCGCTCGCCAGCCGTGAGCCCGGCTTCTGGCTGAGCGGCGCTCCTCCTGTGGGAGTGCACTGACCACTAGGGGGAAGCTCCCGCATTGAGCGTCTGCCCCTTGATGGTCAGTGCGCATCATAGGGACCAGTCATTCTGCTGTAACGGTCGCTTAGGCTTTTATTATATAGATAATAAAACGCTAATATGCAAATTGATCAAATGGCAGAACGACCGGTTGCTATGACACACAGCAAGCGCAGCAGTGGTGGTGGGAGCCTCACCACCTCCACTACAGGCAGGTGGTAAGGAGCGAGGGGTCCCAGACCGACATCCTCCAAGAGGTCCCAGACTGCAAGAGGGTGCAGGCCGGGCTGAGGGACTTCCCGCCCCCCCGCCCCAGTGCACGAAATTTCGTACATCGGGCCTCTAGTTAAGTATATAAGGCAGACTACAAAATTGTATGACCACTTTGTTATTAGTAGCTTTCATACACTTTGAAGGACTGAAATTATAGGGGGGGGGGGGGGGAGGGCGGGGCGCAAAATTAGTTTTACAGTTGCATGTACATGAAACAGAGTTTATTCTTATATTATTTACTCTTGTATATTTTTCCATACAAACTACTGTAAACCTACTTTTGCCCACCCCATATATTGCAGGTTCTCGGACCACAATCTAGAAAATATAAAATGTGAACCAGAACATCCCTGTATGTTAAGAAGCACACACTGAATAACCTATTGATCTAAGAAAATATATCAGATATTAAAAAATATTTTGAACTTGAATGATTAATGAAAATACTATTTACCAAAACTTTGAGATGCAGATAAAAGTAGTACTTAGAGGGTTATATTAAAATGAATATAATAGAAATTAATGAAATAGATACCTGTTTCAAGAAGTTTAAAAAGATAAACACAGAAAGAAGGGTATAATAAAGGTAAAAATGGAAATCAATGAAACAAAAATTATAGAAAAAGAAGAAACAGAAGAATTAACAAACCCAAAATTGGTTCTTTGGGAGAGCTAATAAAATGGACAAATCTCTGGTAAAACCAATCATGGAAACAAGAGAAGACTCAAATAACCATTATCAGTGTGTCAAGGAGGAATCGCTACCTATGTCACAAAGTTAAAAAAAGTTCATTAAATTGAAAAATTTGGATGAAGTAGAAAAATTCCTTCTAGTTCAAATCTCACAATCACACAGACACTTGTCCTCAAGACAACCTTTGCACTTTGGCATCAAGCAGACTGTTTTATGCAAACTTCCCATTTTGTCACACAGAATATTAAAAACACCAAAAGACGTGTACTCAAGGGCCAATTTATCCTATATAATAAAAGCCTAATATGCAAATTGACCCAATAGCAGACGACTGGTTGCTATGAGGCGCACTGACCACCAGGGGGCAGATGCTCAACGCAGGAGCTGCCCCCAGCCCGCAGACCCCAGGCCAGCCATGGCTGGTGCCAGTGGGGGGCCCCCTCTATTGCCCTGCCGATTTCCCCACAGATCAGCCCTGATCACCGGCCAAGCCTAGGGTCCCTACCCGTGCATGAATTTCATGCACTGGGCCTCTAGTTTATTAATAAAGTTAATACTTCTTACTGCTTCATCAAGGCTATGAAGTAAAATGAGTGCTGTTTGCTTGTTTTTATGGAAAGGGCTTAGGAAGAAAAACATGGTCACTGGTGGCGGGGTTTACGCACTTGGTTACCTGCTGGTCGTTTCACCCACCACTGCTTTTGCACCATCAGTGCAAGCATCAACCCAAAGGAGGAGAAATTATGTCTAAGGTTATGAAGACAGTTTTGATCTCACAGGCTTCTTCAAGGGCCTTTGGGACTCACCACCCTGGAGTCTGTGAACCACATTCTGAAAACTGTGGTGGTAGAGAAACTTGTGCTCAGGACACTGGACACATGTCCTGGTCATGGCATCGCTGCTCCTACAGCACGGGAATGTCCATCAACAGAAGCATGAGTAAATGACAACGTGGCTGTAAATACTGTACACCCAATGAACACACATTAACTAGAGCCCCGCGAAGTAACTGGTGCTTCTAGCATCACACTAAGCCACCAATCAGGAGAACTTGGTTTATATTAAGCACGCATTTTTACCTCCTTAAAGAGCAAATTGGTGAAGCATCCACTGTATCAGTAATTTTGCAACTGCATTTGGTTTACAAGTTTCCCTGGGGAAGGAGTAATAACAAGTCTCCAGAGTAGAAGCTATTATTAAAAAGCAATTTAGGCAATCTTCACAGATTAACCTCGATTGACGGGACCTCTTTCCTCTTCCTTCAATAGCATTTGTTTTCTTGCTACTCTCTCTCAGCTTCTTGGTCACCATCAGGCACCTGTTTTCATTTGCTGGTGGTTGTCCAGATTTTGTCCTTGGCCCCTTACTTCACATACGATGTCTGGGAGATCTCCCCATACTCAGGACTCCAGCTTCTAACCATTCACTGATGACCTACACAACTCTATCCCCAGCTCATCCTAAGATCTAGATCCCTGTATTCAATTGCCTGATGGACATCTCTCCTTAGACTTCCCATAGGCAGTTCCAATTCACTATGTCCATAGCTGAATTCATTACCTTCCTCCTACATCTGTTCTTCTTTCCTTCCGATCCACCTCCCACGTATTGTCCTTCCCCTTTCCCCCTGGTCTCAGGCGCTTGTCTTCCATGTTCACATGGCACCCATCTAAGTGAGACGTCTACTACAGTGGATAGGAATTGCCATTAGGTCTCTCTCCTCCCCAACTGTGAGTTGGGGACAAAGACTAACTCTGGATGTCAGAGCTGGCTCTGTATTTATCACATAGCAGTACTACATTCATTACTGAATGAATGAAATAAAAATTTTATAGAATTTCTTGGCCCTGGCTGAGTATCTCAGTGGTTAGAGCATCGTCCCAATAAGCCAAGGCTGCAGGTTCAATCTCTGGTCAGGACACATTTAAGACGCAACCAATGAGTGTATAAATAAGTGGGACAACAAATCAATGTTTCTCTCTCTCTCAAATCAGTAAATAGAATTTCTCATTCTTTTCCTTAAAAGAAGGCCAGTCAAAGGGTCCTTGTTGATTTTTTAAAAATAACATTAAACAACATAAAAGAATACATGTTCATTATAGGGATTTCTTTTATTAAAAAACAATTTAAAAAAAATCATCACCCGAGGATCTATATCAGTGATGGCGAACCTTTTGAGCTCGGCGTGTCAGCATTTTGAAAAACCCTAACTTAACTCTGGTGCCGTGTCACATATAGAAATTTTTTGATATTTGCAACCATAGTAAAACAAATATTTATATTTTTGATATTTATTTTATATATTTAAATGCCATTTAACAAAGAAAAATCATCCAAAAAAATGAGTTTGCGTGTTACCTCTGACACGCGTGTCATAGGTTCGCCATCACTGATCTATATACATATTTTTAATATACATTTTTTTTTTTATTGATTTCAGAGAGGGAGAGGGAGAGAGATAGAAACATCAATGATGAGAGAGAATCACTGACCGGCTGCCTCCCGCACACCCCACACTGGGGATAGAGCCCACAACCTGGGCATGTGCCCTTGACCAGAATTGAACCCGGGACCCTTCAGTCTACAGGCCAACACTCTAACCACTGCGCCAAACTGGATAGGGCATTATAGGGATTTTTGAAAATCCAAATATTAACATAATTTTTCCATCAAGAGATAACTACTACTAATGTTTTCACCTATTTCCAGTTTTTCCTGTGTGTATGCACACATACACACACACACACACATTCATGTTATAAACTTGAGATGAGTGTTTAAACTGAATATACAATTTTGCATCCTGCTTGCTCTTTAATGTTCTATTATGAAGATAATCCCCATAATTAAGTATTCTTTTATTTTAAAAATGTTTTTATTGATTTCAGAGAGGAAGGGGGAGGGAGAGATAGAAACATCAATGATGAAAGAATCATTGATCAGCTACCTCCCTACTGGGGATAGAGCCTGCAACCCAGGCATGTGCCCTTGACTGGAATCAAACCCGGGGCTCTTTGGTCCACAGGCCAACGCTCTATCCACTGAGCCAAACCAGCTAGGGCCATTAAGTACTCTTGAATTGCCATTTTAAATGGCTACATAAGGTCCCTGCTTGAAATGTACTAATAATTATCCTGCTGTTGGTTATTTATATTTTCCCCTCATTTTTGCTAGTATGAGTGATACTTAACATCTCTGTATGTAATTCTCTGAGTTCCTATTCCCCTGGGAGAGGTTCCTAAAAGGTAATCCCATCTCCCTTAGGTCTTTACTCAAGCATGACCTTACCTTAAAATGAAAACTTTCTTCCCCAACACTCCACATTCCTCTTCCCTGCATTATTTTTCTCCTCAGCACTTACCACTAACATACCATAATAGAGTACATTATGCTGTCTGTGGTCCCCACTAGAATACAGGACGAGGAATTCTGTTGGTTTTATTTGGGGCTGGATACCCGCATGCAGTGCAATGTTTGGCATATGACAGGGACTCAGGAGTACTCTTTTTTTTTTTGGCGCCCAAACAGGGACATGAATCAGGAGTACTCTTGATGAATGAATCTAGGTAGTTGATTCATTACCACCCAATTGCTTTTCTGAAAATTTTAAAGAGTGTCTGTTTCTTTCTACCCTCAACACTTCTGAGTATTTTTATTTTGAAAATCTTTAACAATTTGATGGGAGAAGAAAATGTTAAATTTGCCTTTCTCTGATTATTAGTGAGATTTAATTAAGAAAAATAGATTTTTATTGATTTCAGAAAGGAAGGGAGAGAGAAGGAAACATCAATGATGAGAGAGAATCATTGACCGGCTGCCTCTTGCATGTCCCACATTGGGGATCAAGCCTGCAACCCAGGCATGTACCCTGAATGGGAATCAAACCATGATCTCCTGGTTCATAGGTCGATGCTAAACCACTGAGCAACACTGGCAGGGCAATGAGATTTAATTTTTATTTTTATTTTATTTTTTAGAGATTTAATTTTTATTTTATTTATTTATGTATTTATTTATTTTTTATATATTTTATTGTTTTTTTACAGAGAGGAAGGGAGAGGGATAGAGAGCTAGAAACATCGATGAGAGAGAAACATCGATCAGCTGCCTCCTGCACACCCCGTGCTGGGGATGTGCCTGCAACCCAGGTACATGCCCCCGACTGGAATCGAAGCCGGGACCCTTCAGTCCGCAGGCTGATGCTCTACCCACTGAGCCAAACCAGTCATGGCGAGATTTAATTTTTAAAAGAATTTATTAGTCACTTGAATCTCTTCTCAGAATTTTGTTCATATTCTTAGCCCATTTTTTGGGAAAAGGTTTATTATTTGATTTTTGTGGCAAAATATACACAACATAAAACCTACCATTTTAACCATTTTCAAGTGTGTAATTCTGTGGCATTATGTATCTGCACATTGTTCTGCAACCATCACCACCATCCACCTCCCAAACCTTTTCATCTTCCCACATGGAAACTGTCCCCATCACACACTAATTCCCTTTCCTTACTCCCCCAGCTTCTGGCAACTGCCATTCTACTTTCTGTCAAAAGATTATTTTTAGATTCCTAGCCGGTGTGGCTCAATGGTTGAACTTCATCCCAGGAACCAAGAAGTTGCTGTTAGATTTTGGGTCAGGGCACAGATCGGTTTGCAGGCTTGATCCCCAGTAGGGGGTGAGCAGGAGGCAGCTGATTGATGATGTTTCTCTCATTGAAGTTTCTATCTCTCTACCTCTTTCCCTTCCTCTCTCTAAAAATCAATAAAATCATTTTTTTAAAAAAGATGATTTTTAGAGCAAAAGAGTACCAATCCGATGGAAAACAAACTTGTTTTTAAATTCTGTGTCTCTGAAGGAAGAAGTGAAAAGCTAGTTTCTTCTCCTCACCTGCTTTGCTCAGTTTTGCTGTTTAGTGTTTACATGAAGGCCCGAGATAAAATGCGAGGGCAATCTTGAAACCAGCTGGCTCTCACATACCTCGATAACGTCCGTAGGCTTGTGTATGTACTCTTTAAAGATCAAGATGGTGGGAACATAGACGTTGACGTTGTACTGCCCCGTCATCTCTTCCGCCCCTCTCGAACCGACATACACATATCCAAATAAGAAACCCTCTCTGTGTGCAAAAGCAGTCAGCTGTTAGGGCAGGACAGAGAGGAAGAAATGAGGTCAACAGCACAGCATGTAAATTATAAATCAAGTGTGACCTCTTACATCAGATGAACACTGGCTTATTGTATGGCCCCACTTGGGCAGTTACACCCTGTACACTTGCAGAAATTCTATGGTGTTCATGCATAAAAACTGCACCAACAAAGCTCAACACAATTCTTTTCTTTCATAAAGAGAAAAATCATCATCTTATTGAGATGCACACTGGGTGAGGGGCAGGGAGTGTGTGAGGAATTACCTGTACCCCAACTATGTGAGATGGTAGTGACCATCTCGTGTCACAGTGACAACCAGAGGTGTGCTGGAAATGTAGACTAGGGTCTCACTGAGAGGGCAGGTGTGGTCAGACAGGCTTCAAGGGACTCAATACTCCCCATACTGCCGGGAGGCCTTGGGTTGTTATAAACCACTCGAAGTTTCAGGATCTTGGTCTATAAAGCAGGGATAATGTCTAGGTCATTGGGTTCTTTTGAAGATTCAATGTATCATGTGTGCGGAAAGCACGGCCTTGCAATAGCATCAGGAGCTGCTCAGTGCACAGTATTTAAGGCAAATTTCTAGTCTTTGAACATTTCTCATGGGATAAGCTTTTACCTACAAAAAGGACACTCAGGCTACAAGTTCTTCCCAAGGAAATAAGAGAAAACATTACCCCAGCACACAGAGTACCTTGAATGGCAGTGGTATAACCGGCATTTTGTCGAACAGAAGGACATGTGGTTTGTTCTCTTGCTGCCAGCCAGAGAGGAACTGGATATAATTTTTATTTGTAACCTTCAATTGAAAAGAGGATGTTAATTTCAATATTGAATTTTCAACCACTGTACTATCATTCAATCAACAGATAATTACATAAAATCAAATGTGTAAAATATTTTATAAAAAATAAGAAATGCAGGCAACTAAGCTTTTGTCTTCATTTGACTAAAACTATTAAAAAGAAAGAAATGCTGATTTCATATTTTCATGTGTTCCAACTCTGAATGCATAATCTTTTTTTTTTTTTAATATATTTTATTGATTTTTTACAGAGAGGAAGAGATATGGAGAGGGACAGAGAGTTAGAAACATCGATGAGAGAGAAACATCGATTCAGCTGCCTCCTGCACACTCCCTACTGGGGATGTGCCCGCAACCAAGGTACATGCCCTTGACTGGAATCGAACCTGGGACCCTACAGTCTGCAGGCTGACGCTCTATCCACTGAGCCAAACCGGTCAGAGCATGAAAGCATAATCTTTTCTAAAATAATTACTGACCACAATATTTAAAAACTGAGCTTTCAAAGTTGGTTCTTGCTTAACTACAGACTAATTTTTAATTAACCTTAATCTATTAACCTTAATCTAATGCACCAATTGGTCTTTTAAAATAGTTTAAATAAAAATAAGTGGGCCTGAGCCAGAGTCAAAACTCTCATCACTCAGAGAGCATGGGATTTTGCCATTTTGGTGACACAAAATTGGCCCTGGACTAAATGTTGCTCTGTCCTCAATTAGAGAAATTTAAAACAAGACCTGAAAAGACCACTGTTCCCAAGGAACTTAACCACATCCCAGAACAAAGCTCAGGGATATTTACTGGAAAATAAAGACGTCCCAATATCAGTACCCAACAGGTAAAATGTACACTATCTAGTATCCAAAAGTAGAAACCCTGGCCAGTGTTGCTCAGTTGGATGAGCATTGTCCCATTCACCAAAAGGTCGCTGGTTTGATTACCGGACAGGGCACATGCCTGGGTGTGCACATAAGGTGTGCAGGAGGCACCGATTGGTGTTTCTCCTTTTTTCTTCCTCTCTCTCAAGTAAAAAAAAAACATTTGAAACAAAACAAAAAGTAGAAGGCATGTAAAGGAAGGGGGCGAGGCCTATCAGCTGAAACGAATCCAAAAACATAACATGATAAAAATAAGTGGGCCCACCTCATCTATACATTACATAATTTCATTTATTGCCATCTGAATTGCTACTTTTGTGTTTCCCTGTTTATGCTTTAAAATAATCCTACCGAGAGAACAAATTAAAAGCATAATTCAATTTCTATCTAGAAATATGTTAATAATTCAAAAAAGTATCTTTGCACTCTGCTTCTAGAATGATCTCTATAAAACCCCAATCTGATCATTTCTCCCCATTGCTCAATGGCTCCATCACCTGCAGGCCAAGGCCCAGGTTCCGTAAAGATTCCTCTTCATGCTCTAATGGAGTCCTCTCCCACTCACTGATGCTTACTTCATACAAAGCAGGCTGTTCCTGTCCTGGACCGCTGCCTGCCTGGAACTCATTCCCTACTTCCCTCTCCTCACCTGGTAAATACAGAACAGGGTCATTTCTGCCTTTAAGGCTTTCCCAGCTCTAGTACACCGGAGGAAAAAAGCACCCACTAGACTGTGAACTCCTTGAAAATTATCCTCAACACTTGTCCCAGTGCCAGGAATAGAACAGATGTTATGTAAAAGCTTGAGGAACTAGCAGGACAACGCATCGTGGTTTCAGGAGCCTACCGTGCTCTCTGACAACTTCCTTTCTAGATAATTCCACCAAGTATTCCTCCTGCAGGTAATGATCCTGCAGTACAGACAATGAACCGTGCAGGAAGAAATTTGATGGAAATGTCTGCATGTTCACTTTCCCTGGTATTGTTAAAGGAACAAATCATTTCAAGTAAAACAAGAATCCTGTTCGAGTTCCTCTGATCCCTAACTTAAGAGACTGGGGGGAAAATGCTTCTTAAATATAAAAACCATAAACTAGTATGAACTCTTTGTGCCTGGCTTCTTTAGCTCAACCCCCTGTACGTGAAATTTCATCATACTGTTGCATCACTATATGTTCTGGAAGTTCCAAAAATAATACTTGTGTTCATGGAATCTGGTATTTTCTATAGATATAGTCATTAAATCTACAATTAGACAGAGCTTAATTTGAATAGTCTCATAAGAAAAGTATCTTCAGAGGAACAAGGCGATGAGTCGGAAAGAAATCCTTTATCTTATATGTTGTGGTCCAACCTTTTGCTTAGGGCAGTGGTTGGCAAACTGCGGCTCGCGAGCCACATGCGGCTCTTTGGCCCCTTGAGTGTGGCTCTTCCACGAAATACCGACTTCTGCGCATGGGCCACGAAGTTTCAATCGCACTGTACGTGTGCGCCCGCACGTGGTATTTTGTGGAAGAGCCACACTCAAGGGGCCAAAGAGCTGCATGTGGCTTGCGAGCCGCAGGTTGCCGACCACTGGCTTAGGGAATAAGAATCACTGTCATTTTAGGCTCAGAGTCCTAGGACCGTAAAACTGCAACTCTGTGTCTCTCTACTTCATCTGTTCAATTTCAGTCTCTGACAGACTCCATGGAAAATACTTGGTGTGAATGATACATTAATTAACACGTCGCTTGCCCTGCTCAAGTGACCACAGGTAGAGCCCGGGCAGCCAGCAGTCAGTCCCAGGCACCTCGCCAACTACTGCTCAGTCAGGTACTTACTTTCTCCACCAAGTTCCCTGGAAGAAGGTTCTCTACAAACTGTCGCAGGTTCTCTGAGACAACCGCGCTATGGAAGAAGGAGACTTTCCCGTTTATGACTCCGACGATAGAAGGTGTGCTGTGTGCTCCCAGGTGACGGGCCAGGCGCCTCTCGTACCCAGCATGGACCACGCCGATCCCTATACCTGAAAAGTATGGGAGACCTACATGAAGCCTTTTGTCCCTGGCAGTTGAAGAAATGCTAATTCATTTTTTGGTGTGAAATTATGACCTAGCAGAAGGGGGTATCTGACACTTGTCCTCCTCTCTCTATTCCTTCTGCCTTAGTTCAGGCCAGTGGTTGCTGCCTCGTCAGGGCTGGTAACCTCCTTTCCTCTACTCTCACGTTCTGTAACCTGTCCTTCATGGAGCTTTAACAGTTAGCTTTCTATAGAGCAGGTCTGATTTGGTCACTCCTCTATATAAAAGCTTTTCTTGGCTTTATTACACATTAAAAAATGAAGTCCAGCTTCCTTAGCCTGGAATGTAAGGCTCCTTACTACCTGGCTCCCAGCTCTTCCTGCCCCCCCACCCCTACACCCAGCCACGCCCTGCTGCTGCTGGCTCTTCTGACAATGTTGCTCTGCTGGCACTGTTCCTTCTGCCCTAATGTTACTCCCCTGCTTCCTGCCCAACCAACTCCTAATCACCTTTCAAAAGAATAAGTAAAAAGTTGGTGCTTGACGGTCACTGAGTTGAAGAAAGTAGACTAATACATTTCAGGAAGATTTTTAAAAGAAGCTTATAAAATGGGCGCTTTCAAAAATTTAACTTTGGTAAACTAGAAAACCTAGTTAATCAGAAATTTTCTAAGGTTAATTTATTAAGTGCTTCCTATATATCAGGCACTTAACAAAAAAACTGTCATTTAATATTCAATATTAGGAAAGCATTTTGGCAAATCTGAGTATCTGAGTGCTTCTGAACGACAGGCTGAAATGTCCGTTTTAGAAGAAATGAACCAATGGTTTTACAGCGCATGTCCTCTCCAGAGAAACATACCCCTCAGGCTGGGTCTGTCCCTTTTTAGTACTCAAAATAGGTTTGTTCTCTCTCTCTCTCTCTCTCTCTCACACACACACACACACACACACACATTTAGTTCAGTAATTCTAACTTTACGGAGTTATTAAAATAAATACCCTCCCTGGATCACTAAGGTTTTCCTGGCACTAAGTGGTAACGATAAACAAAGGAAAGACTAACCTGCGATCGAGAATGGTAATGCATGATCACTGATGTTATGGGCTGAATTGTGTCCCTCACCCCACCCCTTGCAAGACCCTAACACCCAGGACTTCCGAATGTGAATGTATTTGGAGAGTGGGCCTTTAAAGACGTACTGAAGTTAAAATGGGGCCTTATAAGGGTGGGCCCTAATCCAATATGACAGGTGTCCTTATAAAAAGTTTAATACACAGAAAAAGAGACACACCAGACCATGCGCACATACAGAGACGGCCATGTGAACACACAAGGGGAAGGCCACCATCTGCAAGCCAAGGAGAGAGACTGCAGAAAAAACCAACCCTGCCAACCGTGATCCTGGACTTTCTAATCTCGAGAACTGCGAGAAAATAAATTTCCGTTGTTTATGTGGTATTTTGTTATGGCAGCCCTAGCGAATTAATATACAGAATGAAATCACAAATACCATACAAATAATCTGAAAATCCTACCGGCCTTAACAGTGATGCTTGAGGGCTGCTTTGTTCACCAATCATTTTTAAGCTTCTCCTATGTATTGGGCCCCCAGCTAGATGTTAGAAGACTATATAGGTAAAGCTTCAAGTTAATAATGCAAAGTGAAATTGGCTGATTCATTTCCCCCTGAAAATGTGTCCTTGGAAAATACTAGTCACCATGAACTTGTGAAGAGAAATCATACCGTTCATTCTCCTCAACATCCCACAAAACTCAAGATTTAGAAAGTTACGTTCTCCCATATAAACATCTTCCAGTGAATAAAATTATCTTACCCAATCCTTCCAGTTCTTCGACTACTTCTTTCCAAACAGGCTCTATGTGGACACAGGTAAAGCACCAATCTGAGGTGATCTTAATGAGGTAAGGTCTCTTGAAGCTATCGGGAACCACTTTATTCACATAATATGAAAAGTGCAATAAATGTCTCTCATCAATGGGCTCCTGATGCTCAGAACCAAAGGGGAAGTGCATGAACGATTCCTCAAAATAAAAACTTCCTGGGAACTGGCGGAAGCGATGCTCCTGCTGCTTCTGGTGGTCCTGGTTCTCTCTACCCTGCCCGTAAATATCATATTCAGATCTCTTTTCTTCATGGGAAAGAATCTATAAAGAAAGGAAGAAAGAAAAAAAAAAGAAATCTATGGAACGAAAAAAAGTTTACCCAAAGAATGTTCCTGTAAGCAGCTTGGAAGATATGAGAAGAAAATAAATGTAGATATGACATGATTAGATATTCTAAATCAGTCACTCTCCATCCAGAACATTCTCTCAATAGAAACATTAAGTATTTCAAGACCAAATTACTCCAGTCACTTACTCATGTTCATCTTGGATTTAAAGACTTTTGAACTATCATAATACTAAGCACATCAGTAAAACAAATAAAACTTAACATAATGTTGACCACCAGGGCTCAACCACAAGAAAATTGACTAGGTCATGCCACTTAATTGGAATGATTCAAACCAAAATATGAAAAGCTGGACACCAAAAAGTAACCCCAGACTAAATTCAGTGTCTTGTGTGTTGGCCAACTTTGTTGTACTTAGAAATAACTTTGATGTCTGAAATTTGAGACCCTGCTTTAGGAATAAGTCATTCTAGGAGCGGGGCTGTGTGGTGAAGAGCGTTACCCTGCCCAAAGCGGGAAGCTTATCTTTTGTGTCTCCCAGACACACTACTTAAGCTGACATACTAGAAAACTGTTGAAAATCTTGTGTTTAAATGTATTTGCAACCTGGTGTCACATTAATAACTACAGGCAAATTGGTCTGTAGTTCTTTAAGTTTCTAGAATATGTGCTGCCAACGGAGTACATCATGTAAGTTTCTAAAGAGGAAACAGATATACCTTCATGGTAATCCTACAATTCTAAGTAAAGCCTTTAAAATAGGCCATTTACTATTAATTTTTATTTTTAAAGTATTTTTACTGATTTCAGAGAGGAAGGGATTGGGAGATAGAAAATCAATGATGAGAGAGAATCACTGATTGGCCGCCTCCTGCACACCCCACACTGGGGATCGAGCCTGCAACCTGGGCATGTGCCCTGACCAGGAATCAAACCACGACCTCCTTCCTGGTTTATAGGTTGATGCTCAACCACTGAGTCACACCGGCCAGGTTCGGCCATTTTTTAAAAAAGAGCTTAAGAGCTCAGGTACTAGTTCTGACACTGGATGTGGCCAAATATGGTCTCTCTACCATCATCTAGAAACTGGGTCAAGGGCATAGGGAATATGCTCTGTCTGAGAAGACTTTATTACATAGTTAGACATGCTTTATAAGAGCTAATGGATGCATCCCAAAGTTTGACACAATACCTCGTAAGCCTTGCTAATTTCAATGAACTTGTCTTCTGCTTGAGGATGTTTGTTTTTGTCAGGATGCCTGAAACACAAAAGGGTAGGCGGTGAGAATGGGCTTAATGTTTCACATACGGTCAATTAACATCCTTGTCCACAAGGTTCCCCACCTCAGAGGCAAGTGGAAGGCTATTTTGTTAGGACAGTTTCTTAAAAATGAATGGCAGAAGCAATCAGTTGCCTCACATGACTATTAAAAAAATGCAACTGTAAAACAGGCAATTTCTTCCCAAAGTATTTCAGCCAGGCACGGTTTCAAAGTGCAACAGGAGACCGTCCTGCAGCATTTTCTAGGAAAGGTGGGAAACGTGTGTGCCTTTACATGCTCCCAACATGGCTAACGCTGGCTACGCTAAAGTCATTTCTCTGTAAGAACCAACTTCTCTTCCGATGGCGGCATTTCATCCCAATGCTAGAACGGTATCAATGATATCAATTTCTTCTCAGTTAGACAGAGGAAATAGCTTTAAGGATGCAACATGAATTTGTTTAATAGCAACCATGTTTCAAATAGCATCTTGCTGCTATGTTCAAAATAGCTCATTTTAGTTTTTACTATTACTCTGGTTATCACATTCTACCTATGCAGGCCTTTAACCTGCAAATAGAGAACGTTTTCAAGGCCACATGTTTTAAGATGTGAGCAAATTCTACAGTTTAAGAAGCAAAATGATTTCAACTAATATTGGAACAACGATTTGTTTGCTATTATACACAGCCAGCAATAATCCATCTTGTGGTCATATCTTAGTATGTAATCTGCTTGTGTTTATACCAATTTCAGCTTTGGGGAGTTTAAAGTCCTGGAAAGTAGGGGCCGGGTTTAATGTCCTTAGAACCCCTTAAGATCTAAATCAGTGTTTAATTTTTCAGTGTTCATTTTATTGAAACTCTATTACAGACCTTATTCTTTATGTAATCACTTCTGCTAACTTCTAGTAAATTTCCTCTAGTCAAGGTTCTGGAAAGAGAACATCCACTGGGAAGCAAATGACTACTAAAAACAGCACCAAGTATATCAGAATAAAAACAATTTGCAACTTGACCAACTTATTCTAGCAGGAACATATTTTTAATGAATTATACCACATATTCTGATTTCACTAAAAATAAACTACAAATGGTTGGTTGTTGAATTTGGACATCACTCCCTAACTAATACTTATTATGAATATATTTTTTTAAAAATATATTTTATTGATTTTTTACAGAGAGGAAGGGAGAGAGATAGAGAGTTAGAAACATCGATGAGAGAGAAACATCGATCAGCTGCCTCCTGCACATCTCCTACTGGGGATGTGCCCGCAACCCAGGTACATGCCCTTGACCGGAATCGAACCTGGGACCTTTCAGTCCACAGGTCGACGCTCTATCCACTTGAGCCAAACCGGTTTCGGCACTTATTATGAATATTAATGGGGAAAATCTTAGCTGGTATAATGAAAATAGTATGAAAAAGGAGACATATGTAATACTTTAAACAATAAAGGATTAGAAAAAAAAAAGAAAAGAAAATAGTATGACTTAAGGAAACAAGGTGATGGTTTTGCAGCATGTTTCTGGATGACAAAAAAAAGTGCTTTAAATATTCAAACTCAGGCTAGAGGCTGACAAGATAAAAGTTATTCCATCATACAAATAAAGATTTAACAGACAGAACTCTGTTGGGGGAAGGGTAGGAAGGGACTTTTATTTTTTTTTTTTAAATATATTTTATTGATTTTTTACAGAGAGGAAGGGAGAGATAGAGAGCTAGAAATATCGATCAGCTGCCTCCTGCACACCCCCCACTGGGGATATGCCCGCAACCAAGGTACATGCCCCTGACCGGAATCGAACCTGGGACCCTTCAGTCCGCAGGCCGATGCTCTATCCACTGAGCCAAACCGATTTCGGCAGGAAGGGACTTTTAAAGAGACTGAACCAAAGAGAGCTGTGAGGGCAGCTGGGTTAAAACCACAGATCCTGCAACAGAGGGACTGCAGGACAGCTTCAGCTTATAAGGAATATTTTTCTAATCACAGGGAGACAGCACAATGTTGACAACAGTTAGAAAAAGATAACTTCAGCTCTAGGAAAGTACTGTCCAATGCTATTTTCAGTGCATGAAACATGTCACAAACTGCAATATATACACATCCTTTACATTGCAAAGGGAAGAATATACTGTACTTGGCATCTACAGGTGGTCTAGCTACCCCTAAGGGAATAAAAACAAAGGTAGAAAGAGTAATGTAGTTTGAATGACAACTGTAATTAAAAAATACAAAAAATAGTGAAAATAAACATTAAAAGTAATAAACTATTAGAGAAATCTACTGTTCAGGTGACTGGCCATGTTATACCCCTTTGCTTCAAATAAAATTTTGCGTTCCTCTACTCTCACCTTCTGTAACCTGTTCTCTATAACTCTTTTCTTTGGAGTGGGAGGAATTGTTTATTTTGCCAATGTAGATGACAAAAGAAAAGTACCTGTGATAAAACTTCTTTATTGGAAGACAAACAGTTTTCCTGAGAAAAAAAGTAATTTTAAATGGTTTCACGAAGCAAGGGGCACACTCTTGAGAAGTCTAAGCAACACTATTATAAAACACAGGAGAGGAAGGCTACAAATCCAACTCGGCAATTAACCACGTCCCCCTGCTATAGTTCATTTTGAGAAAACACTACTATTTTTCAGTGCATATGAAACCGTTACAAAAGGAGACAGACTATTTCAGCGATAAAACACTGCCACAGCCAAAATTTAGCAGAAAATAGTACAGCGAAAATCCAAGGTAAAGTAAAATTTTAGTCTTTCACTGGATGATACTCTATATATTTCTATGGTGATGAATTACTCCTAAAGAGAATCTAATTAAGGAAGAGAATCATATAACTCATTTAATTAATATAATACTCTTTTCAGCTTTGAAGACAGCAAAGTCAAAACTGTATGTTTTAATAGGTCTTACATACTCAAGCGATCATTTCTGCTTCTAAAATGCTGCCAAAGGCCATGCCCTGTACAAAAGAATTGAGTACCTTATGAGTTCATTGCAGATTTATACATTTTGCTTTAAACATAAAAAGGCAAGAGTTTGAAATGATGTCAAAACCGACTTTACTGTGAAGAGTCCCTGAAAAGAGCCCATGCATAATTAGAGATTGTGTTTTTTAACCAATTCTGGATTCTTCATGATATGGGTAAGGTCTAAAATATCCATTCAAAACATTATATTTTAAAACTATCTTTTACCTGTATTGCAACCAGTTTAAAGCTAAGATACATGTTTCATTGAAGAATAATGGTGGCAGCAGTCACACACAGCCTGCAATGCCATCTGCATGTTGCAATTTTGCTCCTGCCTGACTTCCTTCCCACCCAAACACTGACTTACTCACTCTTACTTCTGCCCAGATGGGTAAATGATTAAAAAAAAAAAAAAGCAATAAACTACCTGTCGGTGCAGAAGGTCAAACTATGGAAGCCAGAGGTAATACAGAATTAACCCATAAAACTGGGAGAGCAAAACCCTCCCTCAAAGTGTAATTATAAGGTTTAAAGGAGATAAACATAGAACATGGAGACTAGCATGTAGGTGCTCAGTGATGGTTCCCATCCCAAACCTTCTTCCTGTTCTTATGCCTGGTACACCCAGCTGTAGTCTCCCATGTTCTTTCCCTCCTGCTGTTCCCTTCCAGCTATATAATCCAGCATTTCTACTTAGGCACGTCCATAGTATTAGTATTAGTGGAAGAAACTGATGCTGTCTGTCCAAAATAAGTTTTAAATTTCTTGCTATCCTGCTAATTCATAAACATGTGTATATTCTCTAGCATATATAATATCTACAGGTAAAATTCTGATTTTTCTATAAAATAACAAACTCAATCCCCGAATATTCGTTTAAAAACTTGAGGGCAAAAAGCTCTTATTCTAAAATAGTTTGAAAGCTTAAAAAGTAATAGTCTAGAAAATAGGATTGAATGGTGTTGCCTGCATGAGGAGTTACTTGATGAATAACATCACGGGAAGGGTAGCTTATCCATTGTTGAGTACATATATATTTTAAACATTAAAGTTCCCTCCTACTTTAATATTAAATATGCTAATGGTATCTAGGGCAATTAAGGGGGTTTCACAGTAACAGAGGCTTTGGGTCACATCACTAAAATTATAGAAAAACATGAACATTAGACCTTCCAAATAAAATATTTTAGACAGATATATGTTATATATTTATTGAACATAGAGACAAATAAAAGCTAATTAGGCTTCATTTTCCTGCTAAAATTGCTAAGCTTATATTAAACCATTTCTCTGTTTCACCTACCATTTCCGGACGAGCTTCTTATAAGCCTTTTTAATATCAGCCTGACTGGCTCTTCGAGTGACCCCTAGGACTCTGTACGGGTCAAAAGCCAACGCAGACAGAATTTGCAGGATCAGAACCAGAACTATCAACAACTGCCAGGAAATGCTCAACTTTTTCACTTCCATTTCTCTTCCTTTCCAGAGCTGAAATAATGGAAGAGGCAACAAGTTTCAGTGGTAGAAACCTGGACAGTCTTCCTTTTCAGGTCAAGGTATAAGACGTACAGATGAAAAACAAAACAAAGAAAATATATTTTGCAGGAAAAGTGTCACGCTGCTTGACTTACATTTAAAAAAAGTCAACAACCTCACAACTATTTACATCACAAATAAGAATTATTATAGAACAATTATAGATGAAAAGATGAGCAATAAGAGTAAAAACTCTCCAGAATCCTTGAATTAAAAAAGCTTTAGAAATGACTAAAAATGAATAAGATGAAGAAATGATAAGCAAATGTGGGAAGACGTATATGAAAATCAAGGTGACTACATCTCAAATACACTGTTTCACTTATTCTGACAATAACAGTGTAAGCTTAAAATATGAGGCATAAGAATACCCCACTTAGTATATGATAAATAAATTCATGAAATGATCAGATATACCATGTGCAAAATCACAAAATGAGATAGTTGTGGCATCCTTGGGAGTTAAGTAAGTACAAATACAAAAGTGAAATACTCTTAAAAAATAGCACAATTATGATTTAAATATGCTCCAATTCTGTTCTTTTTCACCAAGCCCATTAGAACAAAAAAAATGAAGCTGCTCTTTAATTTGATCGTTAGCAATAAATGGAAACCTCAGGAAATGCTCGTTTTTACTTCCATTGGAGAAAAAGTAGGGAGAAAAAATTTAGTTTTCCACGTGGAGGGAAATTAATAACAAAGACTGTAGACCAGACATGGTTCTCAAATATTAAAGCTCCATCTCTGGTGAGTGTAGTGACTGAATTCACCCAGGGTTTCAGGAATAATCCTGGCTGGTTAATGAACACGGTAGTGCTGTATTGCACAGACACTTGCACTCCAGGATTGTGATCTTGGTGATATCATACAAAGGCTTCCCAAGGGCCATATTTATCCTGACTTCTCATAAACTAAGTTTTAAGGTTCAAGTGTCTATGGTGGCACCTTTCTTGAGAGGGTGAGCGAAAGCTCTAACAGCGGTGGATTCTGACAGCTAGAAGTCTAAATGCTGCCCGAGAGTCCGCACAACACTGACTAACCCGATGGCCGACGTTGGGGACTGCATGCATGCTGAATAAAATAGGAAAACAATGTCTTCCTCCATCAGGCAACCTGTAACCTATTCTGTCCTTCAAGACACGCACAGCCCGCCAAGAGTCCGGATGGGGATGTAGCTACTGGGGAAGCGCATGGGCTCTGGGATCAGCCTAAGACCGGGACCCAACCTCCACCACGTTATGACCTTGGGCAAGTCCCTTAAACTGGTGAAGCCTCAGTGTCCTTATCCAAAACATGGGGGCGAAGAAGACAGTCTTGAAAGGATCAATCTGGGAGTTAAACGTATGTGACGTATTTACGGGGCACAGGGTCCATCAGCGGTACTCGTTATCATTCTTTTGCTATCGTGCTGTGCAATCAGGCCTATTCAACTGTGTCGGTCGCCTCCAGACAGAAGGCCTAAGTGGCGGGGGCCGTGGGGTTCTTTTGCAGACAGCGGGCCGGTGCCGGCCTCCAGGCAGGAAACCACCTGCCCAACAGGTAGGCAGGCTTCCGCCCTTGGGCCATAGCCCCTAAGCCAGGCAGCCGCTCCGCAGACGCGCTCGGAGTCTGAGCATCGCCTCGGGCTCCCATCGGAGGTCGCCACCCTCCAGGAGACGGTCGCCTCCTCCGCTGCCCGCCGAGAGCCCTGGGCTGGGCCCGGTCGGCTCCCGGTGCCCCCCCCCCCCCCCCAGGCCCAGCAGGGACCCGCAACGAAGAGGGAGACTGAAGGGAAATTCCCGAGCCTGCCCGGCCCCGCCGCGTCCGCCGCTCCGCGCGTCACGCCGGGAAGGAGTTACCGGGAAAGGGCACTGGCCTCAAGGGCTGCAGAGTCCAAGGTCCAGTGAGTCCGCTGGCCAGGAGGCTCTGGTCCACAGCAGCGCTCGCCCAGGCCTGGGGAGGGGAGGAGGGAGAGGGACCAGCCTGAAGGGAGTCACGTGGTACTTAAAGGCCCAGCGCATCGAAGGCAAGGACTGACTGCTTGTTCGAGGGTGTATTTTGACCCTGGCCACACACCGTCTGCGCCTGGACCTAACGCGGTTACCATGGGGACGAGGAGTGCTCTTCGGCTGGATCAAAAGGGATGATCGTAACCAAAGAGGTCAAAACGTGCCTGCTAGCTAGGCTAAGTCGCGGTGCAAGATGGGATGCCAAGGAGACCTCCCCGATCCAGGGAGGAGTTTCCAGTGCTACCAGGAGATGGCCTGCTCTAGCAACAGTTGCTAGGGTGGGGAAGCAATCGCTGGTCCCGCTTCTCTTCAAGCCTATTCATAGAATCCTAGAGCGTCAGAATTGAAAGGACCTTAGGGATTCTTTCTAGTCCAACTCCTCCATATGCTGATGGGAAGACTGAGGTCCAGAGAGGGGCAGGGACCTTCCCAGGCCTGGAATCCATTTACCCAAAAGCCGGCTCCACCTTAGTTCCAGCCCCTGCCCTTAGCACGGGAAAGGGATGTGTGGGGGTGTTGGGGAGAAGGAGCGGCACAGGTGAAGGAGGTAAACTTTCATTGAGCCAATGAGATAGGTTCTTTAGAGATATAAAGAGATTTCATATCCTCCCTGCACTGTTTTTATTTATTTTTATGTCCTTTGCATTTATCACCATCTAACATACTACATCTTTTATTTTATCACTAGGGGCCCAGTGCACGAATTCGTGCACCTTGAAAAGAACTGTGGGCCGCAAGGCTGCAGGGGGCACAGGGGCAGATCTTGGCCGCACCCCAGCCTGGCCCCTCCTGCCGCTGCAGCCCCTGGTCCCCTGTCTGCCGGCAGCCTTGACTTGCACCTGCTGACGGCAGTGTGGAGTGATTGGGGCTGCGAGCAGCAGGTGCGAGTGCTGGGCAGGACCATGGAGCGCAGGAGCAAAGAATTTTCAGTAACCACCAGAGGCTCACCCCAATGACAGCAACAGGTGCCCTGCCTTGGTCTGGCACCCCTGCTCACCTGCTTCACCATCCCCGCCATGGCCAATGCTTGCCATGTTCTGTGTGTGCCCCCTGGTGGTCAGCGCACATCATAGCGACCAGTTGTTCCGCTGTTTGGTCTATTTGCATATTAGCCTTTTATTATATAGGATTTCTCTTCTCCCACTGGAATATAAGCTCCTAATGTCAGGGCTTTTGTTTGTGTGTGTGTGTTTTTTTTCTCAGAGCTTGCACAGACCTTGGCACAGACAGGATTGCAATAAATATTTGTGGAATAAATGAATGAAAGGGGCCGAGGTTTTGCTGCTCAAGAGTATACATTCTGAGAGTGTGGACTTGCAGTCAGGTTCCAGTGTAAATCTTTCCCGCCTCTGCCACTCACTACCTCTGTGACTGTGACCGGTGACTTCACTTCCTCAAGCCCCACCGTCCACATATGTAAAGGGGGGAAAGTACTTCCCTGGTAGTACTGCAGTCAGGGACAGATGAGATAATGTGATGTAAAGTGGCTGGGACTCCATAAACTGGAGCAATTGCTTTTCAAATGTGGAAATGAGCGGTGCAAACCGGGAGTTCCAAAGAGTAGATTTCCATCCGTGTTTTTCCTTTGTGGGCGGGAGGAAAGATGGGAAGGGAAGAGCAGGGAAGGGAAGGGGAGACCGTGTAAGGTGGGATTGGTTGGATGAGACGCGAGTTTGGAACAGTGAACGATGAGAAACGGGCAGCGGGGCGGCAGGTTTACGGTTTTAAGGGGGGCAGAGGAGGGATCTGTAGGGACAGACCGTGGCTCCAGGCACAGCAGTGACTTGCAGTGTGACCCACTCCGCGGCTCTGTAAAAGCGAGACGTCTTGGGAGCCAGCCGCAGTGTCGCGGGTGTGTTTGGGGCGTGGTTTGGCGCGGGGGGGGGCGGGGCAGGGCTCGGAGGCGGAGCCTGGAGGTGGCCGGGCCTGGGGGCGGGACCCGGGGTTGAGGGAGAATCGGGGGCGGGTCCCGGAGAGGGGGCGGGGCGCGGTGGCCGAGGCCCGGAAGCTGAGGGAGGCGGCTGGGGTCCCAGCGGTCTGCTCGCCATGGACGAAGCTGACCGGCAGGTTCTGCGGCGGTGCCGGGTGCAGCTGGTCCGCGAGCTGCAGGTGGCCAATCTTTGGGACTCTCTGCTGACCTGCGAGCTTTTCAAGCCCGACATGATCGAGGATATCCAGGTGCGC